GTATGCTCGTCATTCACTATTGAAATATTGTAGAATGGACAGGAGCCTGACTTGTACTTTACAGTAACGGGTTCCTCGTCAAAAGTTTATGCAGTACGTGAGAAAGGACAGATCATTGTTGAAAATGGGGTAAATAGTGATGTTAGAGTGAACATTCAACAAATTATCGAAATTTCACAACGACTTCATCAACCAATTACTTCGCTGTTGCCCCGCCTGCAGCTGCATTCACTTCGGCCGCTTTAGCCAACTCGGATGGAGTCATGTCAGGACAGGCCTCGTATCCACCATCATCGCCCACTTTAGATTTAGTCTGAAAGAAAGTCTCACAGTCACTGATAGATGCGCTGAAATCACTAGTCAATTTCTGTTTCCGAGCAATGTACTGTTGGATGACAGTTCAAAATTAGTTGTTTTATGCTACTCCAGTCCTGCTCTTAGTAAGAGAAGAGAAGTAGTATAAGTACGGATAAAGGTCTATGTAGGGAGGGCGCAAACTATGTACCTCCTCTGATTTTCGCGTAAGTCTAAGTTTACCAATCACTGCAGTTATAACATTGTTAATTAAATCTACCGCTACCAACGTCAGCGCACCCCTTGAGACGTATATCTAGTTGTACATATAGATGTGTTGACTTTTTTGGTACCACGGTAACATAATATGCGTGAGGTCCCGCATGTTATGGCGCATTACTGTAGAAGTCTAGCTTAGATACTGGTATAAATAAGTGGAATCTTATCCGGCATGTTACGGTAGAGACGGGGCGGCAGGTGATTGGGATCGTACAGGGTGCACGTCATAAGGAGCCCAACTGCAAGGTTCTCTTCGCCTGTACGGGTGCCCAGGAGGAATGTGGTACGAGGATGGTGCAGCGAGAGCCGCGGCTAGCGATCGAAGTCGATGGAATCAGACGGAATTAATTATCCTTGCAACTTCTTTCTGAACTTACCGCTGCATTCATTGCACTACGTCCAGGAGTATCCTTTTTAGGCTGAAAATTGTGTATTTGCGTATTTCGTCGGGATCGTGTATTTAAAACAATTTACAACTGATCCCAGTGGATCGAGTTGAGGGATAGGTACTAGAAATCCAATGCATGAACAGTTTTCCAGCTATGAAGTAAGGATATTAGAGCAGAAACATACTGGCAGAGGCAGTAATTTTGGTCCCTTCGGAGGTTCTGATTTTGTCTGAAATCACTTAAACTTGAGTTTTGCTTGCATACATATAGGATGCTTGAAATCATAGTGTTTGTAAGGGTTAGGCAGTACTAGAATTACAGGGCAGCATGTTGATGCTTCGATGAACTTGCTTGATTACAGGAGGCGGAGACGGCGCGGAGATGGTACGATGGAATGGCATCAGTTTGGTAACGCGGCCTGGGCAGAGTGACAGCGTCTCTGATCGAGCCTCCGCAAACGTGCGGACATGCTCCATGCTTCCTCGGCTCAATGCCCGGACATACAGAACCGTTACATGAATGCCGACTTCCTCCGCAACACGAGTGAGAAAGTAGATTATAATAAAGTCTGTGATGATTTTTTGTGTGTTGGTGTGTGCTGAGGGATGAGGGACACTTAGGATGACGGTCCCGCCATATTGGTAGCAGCGAGCCGGTCGCACCCGGCGGTGTCGGGTCGGGCGTTCTTCTTTTGTCTACCCCTTTCCACTCACTGTTACTGCTCCTTCGTTTCCTACTATAATCCTTATTCGCGTTGCCTGCATATCTGTCCTCTAGAACGTCTTCAGGGCACAACCGTTGGCCAGGGTTGTTCTCCTGAAGAACGGAGCTAGCGTTCTCTTTCTATCTTTACCGCACTATCCCCTTTCATTTTTTTCTCTTCTCTGGTCGTCGGGCAGACCGATTCTAAACCGGTGGTCTGAGAAAAAGGTTTTTTCTAGGCAACCCACTTCTGTTTGCTCGACGCGTTATTACGCCAATCTCGTTTGGCACCGGATGCCCTTTGTAACGAACGAAACCTGCCGGTTTTCTTTCTTCTCTTCACTCTTTCCTTCCTTCCCTCATGTTATTACGATCAGGGGACCTTTTGGTCGGCTCTTGAGCGCACCTCTTATTTTTTTCTCCGGGGACCCTTTTTTTTTCTTTTTTCATCATTTTGGTCAGTTTTGATTTGGTTTTCCTGTAGCTGAGATACCTGAGGTAGCACGGTGCCGCAGATGCAGCCAACCGTAGTAAGAATTCTGTTTTTTTTATGGGTCCTCACTAGGTGTGCACACCGGGTTTGCATAAGCAGCCTTTAGCTTCAAGCGATATTGTCGATTGGATCCTATGCAGGCGCTGAGGGTATTCAGCCTGCGGATCGGTGGCCGCATAGGGAAGTCAGCATCCGTTACATTCTCTCTTCAAATTTTCCTCTTCTACGCTCGAGCACCCGGCATTCATTTTCTTTATTCCAGCGGCAATACCGTACCCTTCATGCGGACAGTACCGCTACCGTACCCTCGCGATAGCATCGGCATCGCGCTTCTAGCAAGAACGGCGCGGATGTTTACTTTCGCAACGCCACAATGTTGCTTTTCTCAGCCTCACGCTGCCGGCTTTTTTCCTAACAATCACCCTTCGTTCTCGTTAGCGCATTTTCTCAAGAATTTTTCATACTCCGCATTTTTCTTTCGTTTTGCTCTAAAAACATTTCTTTGTTTTCTCAGAGATATTACACTCCGATAGAATTTTCTCTTGATATCAGTTTTAATATTTAAACTCGCCGTTTCTTTTCTGTGCCTTTCATAACATCGTTCGGTTGGCCTGTCCATATGCCGGTAACGCGTAGCCTCGCCAAGTCTTCATCTTCCTCGACTCTCGGGACTCCTGTCCCCCCATCCGACTCCAAGCCTGTCAAAGGGGAAGCCCGCGCGGGCTCTGTCCTCGCCATCTTCCATGATCTGCAGGATGATTATCCCCTACAGGGTCGCGACGCTAAGCTCCTGCGCGACGCTACTTCGTCGGCTATTTCGCAGGTGTGGGACGACACTTGCGCGACCGCTGCAATGCTGACCCGCAAAATTAATGAAGGCAATACGGCGCTTAAGGAGAAATTGAACGAGTCTTTTGCCGCTGTCGGCAAGCGTCTCGATGCTCTCCCGGCTGTTGCCATGCTTCAACCCGACGCCCAGACCCCTAAGGTTATTCCCTTCTCGGGCGCTACGGATACTGGCGTCCAGTTTTCCATTTGGTTACGGCGCCTCGAAGATATCATGCGCATGCGACCGGTTCCTCTCACCGATGAGCAGCGGGCCAATTTTCTTATTGGTCATCTTGATGGGGTGGCCCGCGAAAAGGTGGAGGAGCTGGACGGTGACTCCAAAAAGAGTTACTCCACAATTGTCAGCCACCTAACTGCATTCTTCGAAAGTCCTCAGCAGCGTTACGTTGCTCGTCAAAAACTATCGGCATGCCACCAAGAACCAGGCGAACCGTGCACATCGTTTGCTAACCGGGTGCTCAACCTGGTTCGGGCGGCCACCTCGGGCCAGGACCCCTTCACGCAAAAGGAACGAGTCCTTGAGGAATTCGTGGGCCGCCTACGGGGAGACACTCGTTATTTTGTCAAGCTGGATAACCCCGTCTCCTTTGAGCAAGCGGTGGCCAAAGCCCAAATGGTGGAGCAGCTTTTGAGCGAGGCCACAGCTGACCGTCTTCTTCACCCCGCGTCAGCCCCAGCCTCCGTACAGGTTGCATCCCGCTCTTCCCGCCCGGGAAATTATGGCTCGACCCAACGCTCCTCCTTTCGTTCCCGGACTTCACCACAACCCTCAGGGGTCCGCCGCATCCCGGCGCCACAACCGCGTATAGCCAACGATTTTCGTTGCTTCACTTGCCACGGTTACGGCCACTTTGCTAATGTCTGCCCGTCTACTCGTCGGTCTCCCAGCTTTTACATCCTCGACCTCTCGCGGATCTGAGCTTGGTCCACGTTTCCCCCGCAGTCATTCCCCAGCCGCCCTGCCGTCCTCGGCTCCCAGATCTACACGTGTGTCATGGAGCAATCCGGCCCCCGCCCCACCGGTCATCGCCCGTCGACCTACCCCGACGTTCAAGTTGCTCAACTGTCTGCCTCTTTGAAGGACGCACAAGTGCAGCTCCAGAATTCCCACGCCCGCATAGAGGCTCTCCTTCACCGCAATACGGAGTTGACACAGTCTTCTTTAGCGCAGCCTGCCTCACCCTCCCGCGCACCGGATCACTCGACTTCGTTTCCGGACGTCCGCCTTCTCTTCTGTATCGTTCTCTCCTTCTCCTGCCTGGTTAGCCCAAGTTTCGCTTCCTCTTTTGACGCCTGGCTCTGTCCCGCAAATGGCCCTACAACTCTGTTCTTTCTTCCCGAGCATATTAACTGTACAGGGCTTTTGCCCAACCATACGACTCCTCGTAGTGCTCTCTCTTTGCACCTTTATCGTCCTAATACACGACATTATTCCACGCCAAGCTTCATTGTGCACGATTATTCGCCACACAGTTACCTATTCCGTCAATTTCTTCGGCGCCCATAGTGAAACCCACTCCGAAATCCATGTGGCTGTATCGGTAGAGGAGTGTAAACAGATGGTTTTCCACCATCGTTGCCTACACGGCGCGTTACGTGAATCATCAGGAATATGGCGTACTCAAAACGTGCCTGTCATTCGCATTTTCCTTCGCCTAAAGGTTCGTTGCTAATTGTGGACCCATAACATCTCTCGGTCACCCAATTGCTTTTCTTTACCCTACCTCGATAGCCCACAAGCACGGAGAGCACTCTGGCGCCGACTCCACAGTCGCCTGCGAGGCCGATGTCTGTCCCTCGTGTGTCGTACAAGGACCGGCACCTGGCATCGCCTTTCGGACGATCGGATACTAAATATGGACCCCTGAAGCAAGAAGAGCGTTGTGCAGTACATTTTTTGTAGCGCGTATAGTCGCGGGCAGTAATGGAACCGATCTGGTGAGTGAACGATAAGCGAATTTGCGCTGTCCTGGGACATGATAATCACGAACAGTCGACTGACTGTAACACGGCAAGCTGATCGTTTACCTGAGCCAAGGCCTACGTCCAGTTAACTCGATCCGTAAGAACCTCCACGCAGCACTTCGACGTGCCGCGGCATCGTGACCTCCAAATCAGCTTTCAGCGCAGACCTAGTTGGCATGTTCGAGGAACTCCTTTAACCTCCTGGACCTATTTCCGGAATGCTTTGTTATCCCTCTGCGAGGCGAAAGCTCCAATCACTTGCGAGGCAGCCGTCTATCCGCCTCAATTCAGATAAGCAACTACCATCATTGCGCCACTTGCTGGCATCGCAGGATACTTGGCTGCGTCCGTACTTAGCGCACACGGTTTAACGTCCAATCCGCCGTTGCGTTCGCCCGCCATCTGCTGTCTTGCGTCTTACTACCTTTCAAGTACCGCACACCGCTGTTACGATCTTCCCCAAGTAGAGCTGCGCCTTCCCAGCGGGTCGCGCTTGCTCGCATTTGTCGATCCCACCACAGCAATCATTCGCAAGCGGGCTTCTACCGTCGACTGTGACCTCGCCCACGACTTCGTCATCTCTTCGCCTACCGGCCTGCATTCCTTCTCCCCTCGCGATGGTTCGTGGACACCATTCCCTGTGAGCTCGGCCCGGACGGTTCCCTCTTTCACTCATCTCTTTCCTTTTCCGCTTCCTCCCTCACTTACCATTTTCCATAATTTAATCCTCACCAATTTCAGTGAGTCCTCGAGTGGACCTACTCTGCAAGAGCTGTGGATCGCCCACAATCACGAACGTCTTCTCGAACATTTCGCCACGGCCTCTACTCCGGTTAGTGATCGATCCAGTTTGGTTACTCCTCCGATTTCTGATCATTCTATTTTTTCCTTTTTTCCATTTTCCTTTTTTGATCTTTGGGTGAATTTTTGTTGCGCTCTTGTCACCCTCTCTTTCCTCAAATCTCTGCTCCTACTATATGTCCGTTTATATTCCCCCCGGTGGGCGCAGTATATCCCTGGCGCGAATCCAGCACCGACAGCACCACAACCAGTCGTTACTAGCACCCCACGTCCTCTACAATGTGTGACTCTCCCGGCGAGATTTCCTCCACAGCAGCCGCTCCAGCTCGATATTTCTCAGATTGAGATCGACACGGCTTCGGTATGGCCCCCTCGGGCTTCACTCGTGACCGTCGACGTTCTGTCGTTCGACACCCCGCATTCCTACTTTGTAGCCCAGGTGCCTATCAGGGCCAACGGCGTTCACATGCTCGCCTTGGTGGACACGGGCGCCGGTGTTACGATCACCAGCCAGTCTCTCCTACCACTCTTAGGACTGTTCCACCTCGCGCCTTGCCAGGTGCCTGCAGCTGTCGGAATGGCCGGCATCCCCATCAGGTTCGTCGGCTGCGCGCCAGTGACACTCGCTATTGGCTCACTTTCATTGGACCACATCGTCCACTTCACTCAAGGCCATTGCGTCCCTCGAGCTGTCGATGCCTACAATATTATTCTCAGCAACCTACTTCAAGGGTTTCCACCCTGGGTGCTAAACTACTCCGCACGTGCTTTTCTCGTCAGAAGTGAGCGTCTTCCAATTCTAACCGCCCGCCTGGGACAGCTACCACATCAGCCGCGACCGCGCAGCTCCCCGTTACGGTTGCTACGACGACCGTTTTGCCTCCCGCTTCTGAAATTTCGCGCCATGCTACGTGTCGGGGCTGATCAGCGATTCCATACGGTGATCGTGGAGGGATCGGTAATCACACACGACCAGATCATGGTTGCTCCGACGGTATCCCGGGTTCATCACCCTCAGCTGTTCTTCAGCAATCCCACAGACACACCTAAAGTCCTTTACAAGGACCAACATGTTACGACTGCCCGCCCGGTCCTGCAGCTCCCTAACGGGACAGTGGCTGAACTGCCGCAGCCTTTTTAGCATACTTAACACCCTTTCATCTACCACGCCAGGGAAGCCTTCATCCGATCGTCAGCCACTCAACATTGACCTCTCACGGGCCGACGTTACCCCAGAACAACGCCAGCGCCTTTTCGATCTCTTCCAGGAGTATCGCGATCGCATATCCACCTCTTCCTATGACCTTGGCTCTTAACGACCACACTCGCATACACATCAAGACCACTACGCAAGTACCGCCCTCTCGGTACCGTCCCACCCGCATTCCTGCGCGGTTTCCTGAAGGAACTCGATGACCACATCCAACAAACTCCTGCAATCTGGTCGCATAGTTGAAAGCGATACTACTTGGCTTCATAACACCGTATTAGTCAAGAAGAAAGATGGCTCGCTACGCGTCTGCCTTGACTTCCGTCCTTTGAACGATATCACTATCCCCGATCGGTACCCTTTACCCCGCATCGAGGACCTTCTGGAACGGATCGCTGGCAAACGCTACTACACTTCCTTTGATCTCGCTTCTGGCTATATGCAGTTACTGCTTTCGCCGGAAAGCCAGGAGAAATGTGGATGGGCCACCCATCGTGAAGTGTATCAATTCGTGTATCTCCCCTTTCGGTTTGCGGAACGCCGGCGCCTATTTTTGCAGGGCCATGTCTCGGATTTTGGCCGGCGTTGATAACAACTGTTTGCCTTATCTTGACGACGTCATCTTATTCGATAATGACTTCGACACCCATATCAATTCCTTACGTAAGGTCCTCGAGCGGTTCCGCGCCTTCAACATTAAGGTCTCTGGGAAAAGTTTACAAGCATTACGTAGTCCCGCATCACCTTCCTGGGACATGAGCTTTCAGCTACCTCGTATACCCCGGCTGAACGTAATATCAAGGCGCTGCAGGACCTCCCCGTTCCTACATCAGTGCGCGCGGTCAAAGGATTTCTTGGCATGGCCAACTTCTTTCGCAAATTCGTTAAAGACTTCGCCGCTATTGCAGCCCCCTTGTATGCGCTCTGCAAAGGGAACGCCACCTTCGACTGGGGAGAACCCCAAGCAACAGCATTTGCCCGTCTCAAGGAAATTTTAGGCAAGCCACCCTTGTTTGGCCTTCCCCCAGGACAAAGAGTTCATGCTCCACACCGACGACAGCAAAACAGCGGTCGGAGCTCCAAATACAGGACACCTCGCTGCCGCCCGTAGCCATTGGCTACTTCAGCAAGACGCTGTCTCCCTCACAGCAGAAGTGGAGCCCTACTCACATCGAATTATTCGCCATGGTCAGTGCTCTCCTGTTTTTCGCTATACGATCTACGGTAATCACACGCGGGTGTTCAGCTATCATGAACCTTTACCCTTTCTTTTGGTCATCGCAAGCCGCACGACCATCTGGCTCGTTGGGCTGTCGAGCTGCAAAGCTTTGATATTTCTATCGAGTACCAAAAAGGGTCTTCTAACGTCATCGCGGATCATCTAAGCCGTAATTCCAACCCAACAAACGCCTTCGTCGACAATACTCCCGAGAGCGAAGACATTGTCGACTTCCCTAAATGCCTCCTTCAGCGGACGCCCCCTTCACCACCCGGTAAGGACCACTCTACTACGCCTGGGACCCCTTTAGCCCCGCCTTCCTACATTCGGCCTTACGACGCCCTCTTGGCCCAAAAGCAGGACCCTTTCTGTAGCGCCATCATGCACTTTCTCGACGCGGGTGCTTTCCCGCCTGACACCCCCGCCGACCTCCAGGAGGCATGTCGCCCCTGGGTAGATCACTGTGTTATTCGCAAGAATGGCTGCCTCTACTATGTCGGCGGCCACTCCAACTCATCCACGGGCACTCCCGTTATCGTTGTGCCTCAGAAGCTACGAGAGCCGATTTGTCTTGCTCTCCACGATAGCCTCTCGGCTGGAGGTCATTTTAGTTGGAAGAAGACCCTCGCTAAGATTGCGAAGCGGTTCTTTTGGCCTACGATGAGAGACGACGTCTCCCGATTCGTTCGCTCCTGTGACGCCTGCCAACGTAAACGGCCTCACC